AAAGCCTTAAGCGAAAGGAAGATAAATCAATAGTAGTAGCAGCGGCGGCAGTAGCAACTGACACTTTTAACTCATCCAAAATATATAGGCCATTCTCCCTACGGCCTGTCCCAATCAGCTTCTGAGACTGCAGATCCTATACACAACAAAAAAAACTTGAAAACATGACTAAATAATCATCAGAATCACATATTTGACCAACAGACGCAAGATTCAATTTGAGTTTTGAAATAAGATAAACATTAGGGAGAGACAAGTGATGTGTAACAACAGAACCAACACCTATTACATGTAATGTATCTTGATTGGGTTTTCGACGGAACTAAACTAAAAAATATTAGATGTGCTTCGCATTTAACCTTGACAATTATATTTTTTTTTTAATTTGAAAAAATAATAGCAGCAACTTCATTTACAGTATAGGCTAGTAATTTAAAAACCTTATCTTTCCCTTCCAAATTAAAACCAATAATTGCATTTGTTTCTTTCTTGAGAACACTTGTGACTGCTGAGCCCGTCTGATTGACAATGAAGTGAGGCATCCCTGTATGACAACATACACCCAAGCAATGCCTGTAGAGCTACAGCCTACAGCATACTTTCCTCTCCTATGCTTCTTTGCTAGCTTGCTGCATTGCCTCTCTCATCACGTGACAAGAAAAGAAGGAAAGGAGAAGGAAAAAGGAGCTGCATGTTAGAGGGGAAGGGTGAAAAAGTGATTTCGGAGAATATAAAATTGAGAAATCGTGGGCGGAAGGGAAGAGGAAAGGGTTGAAAAGAGCTTTAACAGCTTCGGTTATCCCCCAGCGGCCGAACAGAACTCATTAATGGTGTGTCTGAAAATGGTTATTTTTTAAAATATTTATTATTTAATAATATATTAAAATAATTATTTATATGTTTTTAAATTGTTTTTAATATTATGACATTAAAATAATTTAAAAATATTAAAAAAATATGGATTAAAAATAAAAAAATTAATTTTTTTTTAAAATACTTTAAAAATAAAAAAATAAACATGGTCTAAAGCTTAGTTCTTCGACACTTATGGGTTTGGTTTAATTTATTGAAACTTCAAAACTTTTTCGCAGAGAAACAAAAAAATAAGTGCTTAAAAGTCTTAAACGTTTATTATAACCTCACGACAAACAGTGTCAAGAGAAAAGAGTTTGAGTCTTGTCTACGCCATTGGAGTCGTCCTTGTTCTGAATGACCCCCCCTCCTCTCCTTCCCCTCAAACACACCCATTACTATAAAAGAAGCCACGCTTTCCCTCTCAAATAGCCACACCTCTTTGATTCCCTCTCTCGCCCTTTTCTCCCCTCTTTACATGTCTTTCTACACTCTAATAATTTATTTATTGCTCTCCTTTTCTTCTTCTTCTTCTTGAGGTTCTTTGTCTAATATTCTCTTTATGAAGAACTTTAATGGGTTATTACAACTATAAGAAGTGTGCATGAGTTTTTAGACTTTGAGCTAGAATTGCGCAGCTCCAGTAGCTGGTGGAGACATTTTTGAGCCACAAGACACATACATACATATACAGTCTTTTCTGAGGTGCTTTCATAGGGGTATGGAGAAGCTTAGTTTTGTTAAGAATGGTGTGCTTAGATTGCCTCCTGGATTTAGGTTCCACCCAACAGATGAGGAGCTTGTTGTCCAGTACTTGAAGAGAAAGGTGTTCGCTTGCCCCTTGCCCGCTTCCATAATCCCTGAAGTCGATGTTTGCAAGTCTGATCCTTGGGATTTGCCAGGTTAGTTATCACGATGCATAGAGAGCAATCACTGACAGTTGAAATGGTATATTTATTGTAATTGTGTCTTTGTAGCTGTGGATCTTCTTAAAATTTTCAGTAGCAAAGGCATTTCTAAAGATAGATTTTCAATTAAAACCAAACTGCAATGTCATGTGGCTCACACTACTTGAGTAAACGAAGTTGCAAGAAAAATTACGGAGATAATTTCTACTCTGTTCTGATATATGGCGTTTGTGGGTTCAGGTGATTTGGAGCAAGAACGGTACTTTTTCAGCACCAGAGAAGCCAAATATCCCAATGGGAATCGATCCAACAGAGCCACAGGCTCTGGCTACTGGAAGGCAACTGGAATAGACAAGCAAATTGTGACTTCTAAGGGCAATCAAGCTGTGGGGATGAAGAAAACTCTGGTTTTTTACAGAGGAAAACCCCCCCATGGCACTAGGACTGATTGGATCATGCATGAATACCGCCTTGCAAGCACTGAAACCACAGCCTGCAATGCCCTGAAAAATAAGAATTCAACTCAGGTAGAGGTTTTACTGGGTACATTTTCTTTTCTACCAAGCTATATATAAAAAAATTCATATCAGATCTTTAAAACCCATTTCTACTAAGATTCATCTCTCTGTTCCTGCAAAGTACAATTCCTGAAAAAGGAAAAATCTTGAGCACGTTTAACCACTTGAATACATTATTGTTGCTAACTCTGTTCATGCTTGCGGGTCAAATTGATCATTTCCGTCGAATTTTCTGCAGGGCCCTGTTGTGGTGCCAATGGAAAATTGGGTTCTATGCCGCATATTTTTGAAGAAGAGAGGCACCAAAAATGAGGAAGAAAACATTCAAGTTGGCAATGATAATAGACTGCCCAAACTCAGGGCCACTGAGCCTGTTTTCTATGATTTCATGACGAAGGAGAAGACAACTGATTTGAATCTAGCTCCTTCCTCATCATCCTCAGGATCCAGTGGAATCACAGAGGAGGTGTCCTGTAATGAATCAGATGACCACGAAGAAAGTAGTAGTTGCAATAGTTTTCCTTACGTTAGAAGAAAACCATAGCTAGAATGCCCCTCTTAATTAGTCTTTAGTTCTTGTATCCGTATTTAGGGGTTCTGGCTTCTCAACCAGAATAGTCATCTTAAGCAATCTAATGCTTGTGTCTTTCGGGTTTCGTCTCTCTCATCTGTGAGTGTATGGCTATAACAGGAAGGGGAATCACAAGAAAAGAAAAGAAAAACAAACCCGGCATTAACTGTTGCCAGTAATGTAGAGAGGAAATATGGATGTCAAGTTGTCAACAAAGGGTATAATCACATATCGATATGTAATCAATCCCAAAATTTCAAAGTCAGTGATATTTCTCCTCTTTTGCAAATGGAAACGTTTCTTCAAACATGTTTAAGCAGCAATTTTACGCTACTCCATTAACCGTGCAGAGCTGATTCTTTGTCTAGAAGGCAAATGATTTTCAATGGAATAAATTTCAAAGTTATGGACAAGGAAAGGAAAGAGAGAGCATCTATATCTGCTCAGAGTGGACTTTGTAAAAAGAAAATCCTTTCGCATGAGCATCAGAATATAAGAATGAGAGTAAGATTTTTGCAAGAATATCACCTCCACACCACACGAGGTTCCTCTCTCCCTTTTGGGAAAGGCAAGATTACCTGGCAGAACCAAATTCCTTGAAGCTATATCAAAATGGATCGAATCTCCAAGGATTCTGAACCTGTTAATTTCAGGGTTTTTTTTTTAAATGAGCACACTACACTTAAAGTTTTATAGAATACCACACTTTTTGAAAAAAAAAAGGAATGAAATAACACATTTTGACCTTATTAAGTTTTAAAAATGTGATATTTAATAAATATCAATATTAAAAAGCAAGATATACTTTTAAAGTGTAATATTAATTAAAATTTAAACTCTTCCTCGGATTAAAAAACACACAAATCAAATACTTTCATTTTTTTATTGAAGAAACCAAAAATCAAACTTATCCTAATCTCTAAACATTCTCGAATGTTTTTGTATTTAAAGTCTATTGTGGCTCTTGTTATCACTAATATTATTGCCAACATTACAAGAATATCTAATTTTAATATATTTTTAATTTATTTATCATTAAAGGTATAATATATGTTTATAATTATAAGTTAAATTGTTATGTAGTATGAGTTCACTGTTTATTGTCATACATACAAGCGGATAAGACTACATGAATGAGTTTAACCATATATGTTCCAGACAAGTTTTTTTTTTGTTGTTTGTCTAGATTACATTAAGCTTGATCACAGTTTGATCCATGTTCCATCTTAGGCATGGAGAAATGATGCAACACAATGGGATGTGTCGGTTTTGCTTGGACTGCCTATTAATGGACGTGCAATCATATCTACTAGTATTCGTAGATGGATTGTGAACGATCATTTGGATTGACATTCGTTCTTTCTGAATTGAAAAGGGTAACATACGTTTTCAATGAATTGAGAAGATATTTACGACATCACAAGATAATGTTGACGACATGGTCTAGCTGAGGTACATATTAAATTATGATTTGAATGTGTTAATTATTTGTTAAGTTTGCATGAATTATTATGATAATCTTAATGTGTTATGTAGGTATTTTAGTGTGTGTGTGTGTGTGTGTGTGTGTATGTTATATTTGTTTGACAATATATTGTTCATACATCTTAAGGTAGATATGTGTCATTAATTTATCTAACGCTTCTAGATAATTTTCACATCATCCCTATATATATTTGGAGATCTGCTGTCTTGACATGCTTGTACAAGCATTCATATCTTGCATGCAAAAAGAGGATCATATAGGTTAGGGGATGTTTGCTACTCTTCAGGTATGAATTGAAAAATGGGATGATAACTATTTATGTTTAAAATATTTGTTGTTAACAATAAATAATCAACTCATTTTTCTTTAAAAGTAGTTATTGTCCTAGGAGCATCTTTATGTTAGTCGGCCCTAGATACTCAAATTATTGCCTATAACTGTCTAGACTATTAGGGTTTCACTATAGCTCCCACTAGGATACAGGTATTACAAAGTTATTTTGCAATATTAATGCAAATTTATATTGTTTAATTGTAACTTTTAAAAATACAATTAAATTAATATATTTGTAATTTTAGGTGATGTGCTGGTAGAATATTTGAAAATAATCCAACAAATGTATTGAGATTTTGTTAGAGTGAGCTAATTGAGCATCATGCTTTCCATGTAATTTTTTTTAACCATTTGTTAAATAAAAAACTTGACTTCACTGAATTGTATCTGTTTGGTATTTAGAAAACTTATATTTTAAAGGTCATATGGATGCCTTGCTCAAATAAAAGATTTGTGGTTGCCCCAGCTATCTGCACTATTAGAATGGATATATAGACATAAGTGGTTCAACTGATATTTTTTCAAAATGGTTGAGCTATATTTCCTATATCAAGTAATGCATCAGTTTTACTACAGACAACATATTCTATTTGACATCGATACGAGTAATGCTTTGCATGTCATAACTCATCAAGTAAAAATAATAATTACAACTGGTGAAGTCGCTATGTAGCTTATGTGTCGATGTGGGATGCATGGATGATTGAGACATATGAGAAGTATTTGATTTGGTATATGATTAGCACACATCATGTTATTACTTTGGGTCTCAAGGAGGTTCCTTTATCGAGATACAAGCATTATGAGCAACATGCTCAATGTATTCAAAATATTGTAAGTAATCTAATTTCTTTTATAAGTAATATATGTTAAATGAAGAGTTTTATATATTGATAATTTAATTTAACATTAATATTTTATTATTATTAGGTTGGCTTCATATTATGAGAGGGTTTAAAGACCGTATCGATGCTTTATAATATTGATAAAAAAAACGAGTTACTCCTATACATCCTAGTGGTTTAATGTTTGCTACACTATACTTGAATCTTTAGAAAGAAATTAACTTTTGATGATGTCATAATAGATGATAAAGCCTTTTAAGCAGATGTAGTAGTTTGATTCAATTGTGTTATTAATGAGACGGGATTATCTAGTAGACAATATAAATATAAATAAATAGATTGGTTATGTTTATATATTTTAGATTTTTAATTACTTGAAATATTGTGTTATTAAAGTGTTTTAGATTCATTTTGCATGTAAATATGTACATTACTAGGGCTGCCTTTAATTATAAAATGTGAGAATATCTTCGTCAAAGCTTCTTGTTAGTATGTCAATTCGTTATTTATTTGCATTTTGTATGATATTTTTTCAATTTATTCAACACCAGTGAAAAAAAAATAATCTTGTCATACACTGCAATCAATATCTTTTGAAAACTGGGATGCAACATTGTCCAAGGAAACAGACATTCTTGAAATTTTTCTACGACATTTGCTGTAATTTGTCATATCCTCACCAACAACACGAGAAACAAAGTAGGTCTGTTGGTGTTGGGAAACAGGGTTAACTAAATATTGAATTTACAAGACCTGTAGGTGAAGGTAGAAAGACTAAAAGCGCTATAGATTCCAGGGCAATGGAAAAATTTGGAAGTTCAGATGTGGTCCCAGGTCACCAAAAGCTAACCCTAAGAGCTTATTGAATTCGTAATTGTGATTCCATTGACAGCAGTTAATATGGATAACAATGCAGACCCAGGTAAAGTCCAGCTGGGCAGCAAGACACCTCCTCTCAACACAGGTTCTTCACAAACTCAAATCCTCCTCCCAAGCCATCAAATTAAGGTTCCCTGTAGATGAATTTGTTGGACAATACAGTTCAGTTTTTGAACAACGAGATTCTCCTACTATTTCCAGCCACGCAGCCACTCTGATTTGCTAGTCCTGTGCTGTGTATTATACCTGTAACAATCCTCAATCAGGAAGGCTGTTTCGTACACGTCATGCATGCACAGGCCAAAGACCTGGTTACAGTTGACTAACTTAAAAAACAAATACAACCTCTGAAACGATAATGGCCATCCAATCCTTGTCGATAACACACTCATGCCATTGTAAAATATGGATCAAGACAAATCATGAGAGGTAGGTTGTCATAGCACACACAAATTGATATCATAGATGCCTAAATGGGTGGGCCAGAGACACTCCAAATGAGCGACAAGTGGACATTGGACAGACAAAGGACGGCATAATGTGCCATAACGGGGAGAGGAAGGGAGAAACAATACTTAGTTAAGTAATTAGAGAGCTAAGCAAGAAAATCTAAAAAATAAGCCGACCAGAGTTTCTTGTGAAAATGGTTCAGCATCACCTAAGGCTGTTGGAGTCCTTCACGTCACTTTTTCTATGTATACTTTATTTTCGAGAGAGAGGGAGTGGAGGCTGGATTGGGTTGTGGAGTGCTGACTTGGGCTTCAAATTGTCACTCACGTGGGGAGCCCGTCATGGTAGACCACACACCAAAAGGCTCCACTTTTGAAGCGTCATCACCAGATTAGGTCAATCACAGAGAAAGAACCTTGCCCATCCTAGAAAAATACAATACAACGAGGGCAAGGGTGTCTCCATCACAGATGGGCAGTTCTGACATTTTAAAAACACAATACCTTGCAGACAAGGAATGTGGTTTTATCAAATTATGTTTTTTGACCACTTCCAAGAACCAACCACTTCTTAATGCTGTTTTGCATGGACCGGTTTAAGTTTAAAGAGGTTGCTTGGTATCTCTGCAACATGGACGTACACCTGCTATATTTCAGCCACCATCAAGCAATGTGGTCTGATCGTATATGAACCTACCCTGAGAAATATGAACATGCGATGGGGTCCCTTGTCATAAATGAAGGGCCTGTAGCCCCTCCCAGCCACACCAACCAGCACCTGTCTGTGCCTATCAAGGATGAGCCATATATCATTTCAAACCTCCACAGTAAATATATAGAGGGATCCAGAGCTAACATGTTCAAACATCCCCGTTTGAAATTACCTCTAGAATTTAAGATGATGACATATCTTTAGTTAAGTTGCTATACCTCTACAACATGGCAACTGGGTCACGAACAGCTCATACCCAGCGGTTAAAGAAATCAGCATTCTTAACTGCTTTGAGTAGATACTGAATTTTATAGACAGCTGAGACTAATGGTCGATGATATTTCAGGCTGTTGCCTGATAGAGAGGTTGCTCCATGATCCATGCATTAAAAGCTCAAAATGCTGAGCTCATTCACGGATAAGAGCATGGGATTGCATCAACCACAAAGTGGAAGATTCTTTACGAGGAGTGGCAACATAGGCAGCCACAAAGTACAGATACTTCACGACGAATAGCAGCGCTAACACGTTCCAGCAGCTGTAACAGCATTAAAATGTCAAGATCTTAAATTTCTAGCCATATAAATCAGCTGTCATGTATGTAAACGACATAAAAGTACATGTTGGATTGATTTTATGATCAATTTTCACAGAGCTAATGTGAGTTGAGTGTAAATGCAAATTAACTTAAATAGAATGAGATGAAGAATCTCCTTGATTCCTCAAAGTTAAAATGACATTACAATTGGAATTCAAAACTTTATTCCAATACGTTTGATGTCAAAATCAGCGCTCTGGCCTACACAAGGGGGACTCCAAGGGAGTTTTCATTTTCTTTTTCTTGGCTTTCGTGCATACATTTCTATCTAGCCTCAGATTTGCTTCAATATTTTACGGACCACAACATCTCATAGCAGGATCGGTATTGTCCACCCTAATGCTAATCCAAGGGCCAAATATTCTCCAAGAAAAATCATTTAAGATTCCATCAAGCTTTCAAATTTAAAAGGGACTTGGAATGAAATACTAGCAACATGTATTTAGAAAGCAACTACCATTTACAAATTTCTAATCCAAACAATGGTATGAAAACAATACAGTAATACGTACAAACAAGTTTGAGGTGTCAATTGGCAATATAGAAAGCTCTTTTCACCATCTATTAGAGGTTTTGCATTGTTACCACACACACACAACCTTGTCCTGACTTGCAAGCACAAGAACATTGACTAAGTTTACACACCGGCTCAGCGCTCAAGTTAAATGATATGAGCAGTGCAATAGCATACAAGTAAATATGCAAACTCATGTCGCATTGTTTAATGCTCACATCATTTTCAACCAGTTTTACAGTCTCTTTGGCTCATTGAAGTTCCACAGAGAGAGATGACAGGGTTTGTTACAAGATTTTGCTGGCATTTAGTTGAATGAGTAAAACTGTAATGGTACAAACATTCGTAATTCCTTACAGTATAAGGATCGATATGGCGTTATTGCTATCCGTAAAAATAAAGCCAGAAATCACAAAATCTTTTCGGATTTGAGTTGCATTCTTACTTGTTAGCTGGCAAGGTATGTATGGATCCCAATATTATAGGAAATCTCTTTGTTTCCTTGTACAAATTGTTGTCCGATTTAGATTAAGATTCTAAGTAGAATAGGTTTTATTACTGCCCTGTATATATAGATGTTGAACAAATGAATAATGTAAGTTGCAGAAAATATTTCACAGAGCAAAAATTCCTTGTTATATGTTTGCCGTAATCAACATGGTATCAAAGCTGACCTGAAAACAAACTTTTTTTTCTGCTGTTCTTTCCTGCATCTCTCTTTGAGCTTTGTATTCTACGATTTTTCTCCTGCAAACAATGACAGAACACGAACGAAACCTAATTGTTTAAGTCACCCTAAACAACCCGCTATCAAACCTAATTCTCATTCAGTAGGAAACCTCTGGCTTTCCTGTCAGTGTTATTCTCAATGAAACAAACTACACATTATGATCTCAGTTGATGGAGATGCGTATTGGAGCTCGTAATAAAATGGGATATCTCATTGGAGCAACAACGAAACCTGCACTCAATGATCCAAACTATGATACATGGATTATCGAAAATCATAAAATAAAGAGTTGGATCATCGAATTAATGAGCCCTCACCTGATGCAGAGGTTCATTCGTCTTGTTACAGCAAGAGAAATCTAGGAGATAGTGTCAAGGACCTTCTATGATGGATTTGATGAGACACAATTGTTCGAACTGAATAAAAAATCTTTTTCAACCACTCAGAATGGGAGATCTATCCATATATTATAATGAACTTGTTGCAATCTTCCAGGAAATCGATCATCGCAGCACACCCAAGCATAATCTGTTGAAGGAATTATACAACTTCATGCAATGATGATGAGATTGTGGGTACATATTTTTTTAAGCGGTTTTGGATCCTGAATATGATCAAATCCAAGGAGAAATTCTTCGAAAAGAACTAAAATTAGACCTAGAAGCAGCCCATACATGCGTGAGAAGAGAGTCACAATATCGCCAAGTCATGGGAGTTTCTCGCCTGGCCTCTGAAAATATAACCATGATAACTAACCAACACCAACGAGGGTAGGTTCTACTTTTGCCAAAGAAAAAAATAGTCTAGGTTCAAGAAAACCGAATAATTATGTCTGCACCCACTGTGGAGAAACTGGCCATTCCAAGCTGCGTTGCTACGAGCTTATTATATACCTTGAATGGTGGGATTTTTTGAAGAAACCATAAAAGAACATTATTGGGAAAGCTGCGATGGCCACATCAGGTGCAAGCATTCCAACTCAGGAGGGGACTTCGTTGCTAATATAACTCAACTAGGTAGTATTGATAAGGCTAATGTTCTTTTTGCAATTACTATGGATAATAATTAAGTTATTGATACTGATGCATCTGATCATATAATTAGAGAGACTCTCATAGATTACAAAACCTTCACTCATCATCTCAACATGTCATATTTATAGCCAATAGTGGTATCTCCCTTATTATAGGGAAAGGGCTTTATTGATCTTACTACGACCATAACTCTTGATATAGTATTGGTTCTTCCTAGTCTTGAATACAATTTGTTAACTGCAAACCAAATCACTTCAACACTAAATTGCAATGTTACTTTTTAGCTTTTTTTTTTTTTATGTTTTTTAGGATATTCTAACCTAGATGACTCTTAATTATAGTGTTAAACTGGGCAACCTCTACTACATGGTGTTAGGTTGGTTGCCATTAATGTGCAACAACCATTTGCTATTGCACCAACCATGTGCACTCATCCAAGATGTCAAAGGTTGGCAGCCACCATTGTTGAAGAAGAGTTGGAGTTGTCAGCCACCTTTGTTGAAGAAAAGCCTCCATGAATGCCTATAAATAGAGGCATATGCAAGAGAGCAAAATGAGTGAAGAGAATTATAAAAATGTGAAGAGAGTAGAGAGGATGTAGGCGGTTTTGCCGAACCACGTTAATCCTCCTCCTCCATGTATTTGTTTTGTATTCTTTCTCTATCTCTAAATATATTGACTTCTCCCGTGGATGTAGGCGGTTTTGCCGAACCACGTTAATCCTCCTCCTCCATGTATTTGTTTTGTATTCTTTCTCTATCTCTAAATATATTGACTTCTCCCGTGGATGTAGGCGGTTTTGCCGAACCACGTTAAATATTGTGTTAGTGTGTTTGGCTCTCCTATGAGCAAGTATCAGAACATCACCGGTCGAAATTCCCAACACATGGAATTGACCATAATTGACGAAGTGCAGTATAACAAGGCGTGTTTTGCGATGAAGGGTGATAGGATATCGTTTGAGGTGTGGCTTTGGAATAAGAGGCTAGGAAATCTTTCATTTATTTATCTCAAAAAATTAAACCAAAATTGTTTAATGTAACACTGTGAATGGGTAAAATGCCATCATAAACCTTATCTTCCTTCTTTCAATAAAAGCTCTAAACCCTTTATGGTTATTCACTTTGATATTTGAGGACCTGCAACTTTCATCTATGTCTAAAGCCCTTTATTTCATTACCTTTATTGATGAATGCACTCGGATGATGTCGGTATCCTTACTTCATAAAAAAAATAATGCTAGTACTACTTTTTAAGAATTCATCAATATGATGAAAACTCAATTTCAGAGATAAATTTAGGTATGGCAATCTGATAATGCCATGGACTTCTTTAAGAACTCACTCAGTGATTATCTTCGGCAACAAGGTATTAGATATCATACTGATATGACTAAAAGATTGACGTCTTCTCCCAAGTGCAGGAGTATCGAAGTAATAAATAACCCGGCAAGACCGGGGTCGAACCACAGGGAGATTAATTGTACAAATTATAAAGAACAATAATAAAACAACAACAACAACAACAACAACAATAAT